TCTAATAAAATTTCGATATGTCAAGAATGAAAGCTTGAAAAATCAAACAATTCTAGATTTTTCTATTACATACTAGTATTCATCAAATTAATATCGTCTCGATCGAATAGAGAATTAACACCTGGATAAGTTCTCTCGTTAACTTTATTATTATTATATTAGAAAAGTACTCCTATAAATAGACGATGATTTTTTTGAGATTTTTTCGAGATATTAAACTTTTCATTCTTTTTCTACGCATAAAAAGTAAGAATTTAGGAGAAAAAGAATTCTTTGAAAAATACAGTCTCGCATGTTCTTTTCAATAAAAAACAAAATCAAATATATGTAGAATTAGAGCTTTCAAAGAATTTTCAGGTTGTGAAATGAGCCATTTTTTGAATCTCGTGTGGTGAATATCTCTCAAAAACATAATAGTAGAAGACTGAAAATTTCATGCGATTCGAATGCATCGGGCCCAAGATCAATTTTTGAAGGGAAGGATCTTAATAATACCTTCGTTTCGTGATCCAAAATTTTAGTTTTTTGTGAACATTGTATAATCTAAAGTAATACATATCTGTTGAGTATATTTCGGAAGTCAGAAACTGTCTTTAAACATTACAAATTCCAGAAGAAATCAAATAAACGAAAACTGTTCTCAACATCAATTGAAATTTTCGTCATTTTTCTCCCTCATGCATCGACCGATTGAGCTGAAATTTTTTCTGTGACTAACTAGGATCAAATCGGGGTGCATGTATACATATTTTTTTCGTATAATAATGTCCTAGTGATTTGTGACGGATCTTATAAAATTTACCTTAGACAAAAAAAAATGAATTATGATTGTGTTCATGGGAGAAAACTTCAGATCATTTACGTCTCCAATATCTCATAGAAAAAATGTCGGAGAGCTTTCAGTTTATGATAACTTTTGCTCTACTAGTCAAGATCTATCTATTCTGAAACTTTCAGAATTTGTGGTCAAGTTGTTCTTGAAAAACAATGGAGTCGCTTTAAGAAGTGATCAATCTACATAAAAAAGACTTTATTCATAGATTAATTTAACTTCAATAGTCTTAATGGTATATATGTAACAAACTATAATAAATGAAATGATTTGTCATTAAAGAGTCCCATTCGTTTTATTGTCTTCATAATAATTAAGAAGACAATTGAATTTCATGTTCAAAACAAAACATCATTATTCATTCTATGACAAAATTAATATAAATCAATTGATTGAAAATATTAATCTACATTTTTATATTTCATTTAATAAAATAAAATCAATAGTATTGACATCATTCGAAAAAAATTGTCTATAAACTATTGATAAATATTCTTATTATTTTGTTTTTCTGTTGATTTTTATTGAATTTTCTCCACACTCAATTATGAATACATTAGTTAATTCATTTTCTTTTTTCGCATCATCAATTCATCTCCTGTCTATCATTGCATCCGTCGTGTATCATGATTAGAGAAAATGAATTCATTCATTCCTAGCTTCAAACACGCTACTATATATATTTATTTGGTATATACATATGTATATATATATAAAAATTTTCTTTTTGTTTTATGGAATATGATAATCTGATAATGACATTGTCGCGTGTATGTTTCCTATATGTAACGGATGTGCTTGAAGGCACATCAGACATTGATTGGTTAAAAAATATGATTGGTTGTTTGAAGCAGGTGCCCGGAAAAAGAAAATCAATTGATTGTCACAAACATTTTCTCTTTCTCTCTCTCTCTCTCTTTCTCTCTCCTTCTCTATTTTTCTTCTATATTATACTATGTACATGAAAAATATAAGAGAAACATATCTATTTAATTCTTTATACAAAACGGATTTAATTAATTGAGTTAGAAAAAAGAATAGTCTTATTAATTTAATTTGAATATGTTCAATATAAACAGTGATTGTATCAATAGTCAATCTAATAATAAAAAACAAGAACAACACCAACAACAAGGTAAGGAAATCAACTTTAATTAAGGCGAAACAAAGATTTATATACGTGTGGGAAATACTTTACTTCACTTATGATTTTTTTTTCTTTTTTATGAGTTCGTCTATCGAGTCATTCATTGTCATCGATCGATGGCAATAATCAATTTTCTCCACCGACAACAACAAGAACTTCATCAACATCTTCTCATGATGATACTCATCTATCGTCACCATCTAATAAATTACTTATTTCTTCATCATCACCATTATCAATAGCAAAACCTAAACGTCATAGAACACGTTTTACACCAGCACAACTCAATGAACTTGAAAGATCATTTAATAAAACACATTATCCAGATATTTTTATGCGAGAAGAATTAGCTGTAAGAATTAGTTTAACAGAATCTCGAGTTCAGGTTAATATTTCAAAAAAAAAAATTTTTCTTCGTATTATTATCCAATAATAGACTTATTGTAATAATATTAATAGGTTTGGTTTCAAAATCGTCGTGCTAAATGGAAAAAACGAAAGAAAACAACAAATGTTTTTCGTCAACATCATCAACCACAACATCCTCAATCATTAACTCCATATGGATGTTTAATAAATTCAACAATTGATGGACAATCTTCAATATCACAAACTGATCATCATCATCATTATGTAAAATGGCCTATTAATAATAATAATTGTAATCAATTTTCATTTTCATCATCAAACTTTGCTCCGGTAGTAAATTAAATAAAACCATTCATAATGATCTACAGAGATTGTTTGTATTTTGTTTTTTGTTTATTTAGATCGATCAATCATTAGCTCCACATTTTTATTCATCGAGTGCCATGGTTGATTATGTTAATTTACCTCCACCACCGGCACCACCAACTTCACTTTTTTCAACTACATTACCATCAATAATCAATATTGATCCACTTAATTCATGTTCATCAGGCTCATCATATAATTTATCATTTCCTCCATCATCTACAACATTTACTAGTGATGTTATAACAAATGATAATGATGATATTTGGCGTGGTTCAAGTATTGCTTCTCTACGACGTAAAGCTGTTGAATACCAAGCAGGAAGCAATGACAATTACAAATAACAGTTTTTTTTCTTCTTCTTGTGACATAATTTTATTTCTTTTTCAAACATATATTTACTTTTTGTCATCCACTACAATTCAGCTTATTTTTAAATATCTTATTTTCAATAACTATCATTCAATTGCATAAAAAACAATCAGAAGATGATAGAAACAGGAGTCATTGTTAAATATGATATCAATCAGAAAATAATATAAAAATGTTTTCATAATCATATAACTATTTAAACGTTTTTTTTCTGTGGAGCACATCATAAGGGGACGGTAAAAATCATAGGATACGTTTTCTTAGCAATTGAGGGCAACAGGAGTCAGATTCTTCTTGCAAGGAGTAACGGAAAAAGCTCTGAACAGCATTAACAATAAGGTATAGACTGTTATAACAGGTTCCAATGCCTTCCTCGAGATTTGAATGGTTAGAATACCCCTGTGAATGTTCTAAATAATTCAGCTCGTGAGTTTTATGCAAAGATAAATTTATATTCAAGATATTAAGGATCATGAATTAATTTGTCACAATTACCATGTGATTGACATAAAAAGCGTGAATTGATTAAGGTATAAATTAATATCAGTGCTTCTGCGCTTATCAGGATATATAATAGTGTGTTGAGACCTGCTATAGATACAATGGATATGTAAAACAGGTTTATTTGCTAGTTAAATCAATGATTAGAATAATAATAATGTTAAACTAAGAAAAATGGAATACAAAAACGTCGAACAAATAGCAACAAAGTAAATAAGCAATAGAGCGTCAATAAATAAAAATAGAAAATTTCTATTCAATATGAGAACGATCATTTCCCTATCAATCAAATATCCTTGAAGACTAACCATAGTCTGTCGGAGGTCTTTCACTTCAGAAGAACTATCTCAAAAATAAACTTTTTTATTTTTCAAACAAATATTCTAGAGAATGTTAATCTTGGTTAAAATAGATTAAATGTAAAATATTTCCCTATTAAAACTCTAAGATACTCACAAGTTATAATAAATTCATTGATTAAAAGTAACTTTTAAGCGGGGAAGATTTTGCAAAATGAGAATACGGGCTTACATGTCACAATAGCTTTTAAATTGTAGAGCACACTTAACCCTAGATCATAGTAGAGATCGATTGTTTTTTAAAAAACTATTTTCGAAAGATTTTCAAATTTGTAGACAAAAAAACCCTAGCTAAAATCAAAGATCTAAGTTTTTTTATTTCATCAAAGAAAAACAAAAATTAGAAATCCCAGACTCTATTACGACCTAGCCCTAACTGCCTGCTATGCAATGAAAAAACAACTCTCTACTTTTATATTGAGTTGTTATTTAGAAAAGTTTGTTCGCGTCTATCGTAGATTAGAATTTTGGAAATCAGTCTATTTATAGTATCAAAATAGTTTCGCACTGTTCGTCAAGCTTTATTAGATGGCATGTATGCGAATATATCATGTCAAGGTTGTGTTCATAACTCCTCTTACGTAGATATGGATTATGAATGAAACGAATAGAGTCCTGCGGGATAGGATATGAAAAAGTTTGTTTCACAGGACTTTAAGAGCAAAGCCTCGATTCTACTCATGGCCGATACCTAAAATATTCGCAATCAATTCAACATCATTGAAACCTATATGAAAATAATTTTCATGCTATAAAGCAACAAAAGTTTTCGTGCAATGCAAGTTCATACTTTTTAGATATCCTGAGTAAACTCATCAGAAGAAAAATAGTTAATCTTCTTATTTTGGCAATAGAAATTATACCATCTTGAAGCCCATTGCAAGGACTATCAAAATATGTATAAACTAAATTTTTCTCGTAAAATCACATTCTCCAAGGGGAATCCCTTGTAGATATTTTGGATTAGTTTAGTGAGACGAGAGAATACATGCAAGTTCTATATTTTAGCCCCATAGAAGCTGTACAGATAATCTTGATTTTAAAGAATTTTTATTTAAATCCAAGTACCATTAACACATATTTTATCTGTTTCGTTAAGAGCTTTGATTCCATATAACATAGTTACTAGTTTTTCAGGCATTGCTGGACACCATACTTTGATACTACTAAAAATACAAGGTTTTAATGGAAATGTCCATTCGATTGGTGACGATATCCATGTATAAGATGTACTATATTCCGTAAGAGTTTTTATAGTCTTCGTTCTATTTCTTGATTGAGCAGGATGATAATCATAAATAGGCCAAATATCAACATGATAACGAAGTGTTCGATGTATAAATCGAGCATTAGGTGCTATAAAATTGATACGTTGTAATGGAAAATAAGAACGATTTGCAAATCCAGCCGAAGACCATTGTGGATGAACTTTAATTTCATAGATTGATGAAAAATTGACATTAGAAAAAGGAATCAACTGTTGTGTGTCTTGTGCTAATATTAACACATCAGTATCAGAATCATGTGGTAATAAACCTTGACCTTGTACATAACCTACAAGTGTTCCATAAGCTATCCAATATTGAATATTATGTGTATTAGCAAAATGAGTCCATGCATGAAGAATTGTGAGTAGATTTCGTTGACGAGGACGATCTTTTGAATTACAGATTGGCATTTGTTTAAGAGCTTGTTCAATTGAGTAATTTGTATTTGGTATTAAATTAATAGAAATATTATTGTTTTCAGAATAATAAGCAATCATAAACAAAATGAATAGCATCAAAGCTAGAGAAGTAAATTGTTTGGAAAATTTTGGAACATACATTATATAAGTAATTATAATCAATTGTTCAAATGTTGAATATTATTTTGTTTTTGCTTGTTTAATTTTATGCCAAGTACTTACATGGAACTAATTAAGAATACAATAATAACAATTAGAATAATATATTTTACACTGAAGTGAGACAACAATCATTATAGAACTACTCATTTTGTTTCATATTAGAAAATGATACCATTGTTATACTAAAGTTTGATTAACTCTCTTAATAAAATATTCATTAAAAAAATCATTTAGAATATCAGAGATATTTTTCCTTTAGATAAAGAACATTGCATCAACTATACACGAAAATACTAATGAATCAGGAATATGATGATTTTATCATTACGATGAGGACTTACTCCTCTACACCATGATTTTTCTTTAACTTCGATTGAAATATGCTACGCAATGCTAACAGTTAAATTTAAGATTTTGAATCAATTCCCACTTCGAACCAGACCCGATCGGATTTTTTTATTGATTTGTAGTGCACTAAAGCCGGCTTATTTTGCTAGTTTTAGGAAGTCTAATATAATTGAGATGCCTCTCAGCTGTGTTAAGTAATTTTTTCAAATAAAAATAGATCAAGTTTACTAATTGTAAGAAAATTATACCATTATTTAAAATAAGTCAGCCAATGCAATACAATATTAGATGTTATTTGCTATGAGTTACTCGATAAAATGTTTCAAAAAGAACTCTTCGTTCGCTTTAAATGTTAGCACATATATCAGGTAACTAGAGCCTGCCGCATCCAGATTTTTCTGAACAGGACCCGGTTGATAGAAAAAATTTCAGAGTCAGGTTCGGGACCAATCTGACATGCTCTAGAGGTGAAAGACTAAAATAGGAGTTTTTATTATTAGAAACTTTAAGAGTTATATGAATTTTTCATTGTATACATTCACAGAACTGATGTAATTGACTGTTTCTCGAAAGAATTGATTGACTAATTAATATGTTAAGCATGCCAATTTTTGACCGGTTTCAAGTATGAATCAATTTGATGAATCTACAAAAAACTTTTTTCATCTGTAAAAAACTTCAGCAGTATATCAGTTACATATAAATATTTTCTACACATAACTGTTCAAGACTCATTTATCTGCAACTACAGTTCTCTCAGGATATGAAGACAAAAGATTAATATTTTTTATATGTGTAATATTTTTTCTCAAATATCTAGCAGCTGAAATTATTCATACGATGAATGGTGAAAGAAAAAGAATAATGAATGATAAGATAATTTATTTACATAAGTTATAGGACATTGGCGCCTTGAAAATTCGATTTCGTACTTGTTTACAGTCTTGTTTCTTCTTTCTTCATAACGTAGACTGTTTATTCCATATTATTCAATCTAGCGAATGAGTCCATAGTGATTCTGTTTATTATTATTTTTTTGGTTTTTGGTTCATAACCTTTTTAGTGTATGTCATATGATAACAATGAAAATTACAATGCAAAATATAATATAAAAATGAGTAAATTGAATTGTTTAATTACTGAAATGGTAACAGATGATAAAGACGATGGTAGTTAAAGTGAATACACTTGAAGTAACAGATGTAAATACAATTTACTTAGTAATGTGTTATAGAAATAGAAATCTGTTTGATTTTTTGATTGACATAAAATGATTCGTAAGGTTTTACTCGGTCGTACTAACAACAGTAGCTTGAATTCAAGTATTTTTGTATAATACTCAAAAACCTTTAGAAATTCTAGAAAAAAAAATCCATCATTTAGAATATTAAACGTTGTTGTATTAATTATCTTTTATTAAAATCAATAATGCAGAATTATTTTATAATTTATTAAAAAACCAAAAATTTACATTCACACTCAGAATATACTTGATGAATATTATGTACAATTATATAAAAATCACTCATATTGTTTGAATTAAAGCTGGTATAAATTATTTTTATTTGAGAATTATAAAGGTCAAATATATATCGTTCAAGACGATAATAACTATATGTTAAAACGAGTTTGTTATAATTTCAAATCTATTTCATGTATATGCATGCATCGTGAGTCATACCAAAATTTTATTCGAAGTCAGTTTTATCACAGTTAATATCTACTCTATTGATTTGATCTAATCCATGAACCATTGATACAAGATATATACAGTGATGCTTGTTTATATATGGAAGTAGTTAGTTTTTTGGGTTGTGCTGGACACCATACTCTAATACCACTGAAAACACATGGTTCTAATGGAAACGTCCATTCTATTGGAGATATAATCAAATTATCAAAATTAAAATATTCAACATATAATAATATATGTTTATTATAATATTTATAGATAGGCCAAATGTTTATCGCTACATTATTTTCGTGATTGATAAATCTTGAATTTTTTACAGCAAAATCAATTATTTCAGATGGAGAATAAGATCGATTAAAAGGTTTGGTTATAAACCATTGTGGATGAATTTCGAGTTCATAAATTGATGAATAATTTCCATTGCTTAGATTAATGAGTTGTGGTATGTCTTGATACATTATAAATATGTCTATGTCATCATCATACGGTGGTAAATCATTATGTTGAATATAACCAGAAAGTGTTTTATAAGCTATCCAATATCGAAGATAATGTGATTGAGCAAGATGATTCCAAGTTTGAAAAGTATTGAGAAGAGCTCGTTGTCGTGAATGATCTCCTTCATTACATCTTTGAATTCTTTTCAAAGCTTGCTCAATAAAAATAGTTTCGTTTGATGAACGACTAGTAAACAAATATCCACGTTGAAAATGATCATAGAGTAAAGATCCAATAATAAATGAAGTAAGTGCAATAAAAAATATTGGTAACAAATAAACATTGACTTGATTCATTTTTAATATATGTGACAAAGCATTGAGTACTATAATATTTATATATACGATTCAGTTTCTATAAAGGGCACCATCAGATAAAAGAAGTAGAAACTTGAAAGAATGGGTAAAGAGGAAAAAAATTTTTGTTACATTTTAATCGTCATCACATTCTTCAAAATGTTCACATAGAAACATCGATTTAGGGTTTACAAAATATAGAAGGAGCAAGAAAAGAGACTCAAAAGGTTAGTACTAGTGATCACTCGTCAGTAATTATTATTGACGAAAATATTAGAACTTTGATTAGAATAAAATGTTTCATCGTGTCTATTGAGAAGCGTAAGAAACTATTCTCATATCTCGAAAAAAATTTAGAGAAATACATGATTATGAGTTATTTATAAAGTACTTGTGCTTTCTGACCGCTTGAAAAACAAACTGACTATAAAATATGGGAAGAAAAAGAAAAATACCGACCAGCACTGTCTTCTTATCGTATTTAGAAGTTAAGAACAAGAAAAACAGCGAGACATAAGTACTATAGAGAGAAGAAAATATGTAATGAAAATGAAGAGACAAGAATGTTGTTAAGCTTAATAGAATGACAGGAATTTTGTCCAAAATTTAAAAAACATGATAATACAGAAAAAGTCTTTTAGTCAAATTATTTCTAAAGTATATAAACCTAAATCATTATGCTTTTCGAAATCAGCAACTGATAGGACACTGTTGCTCAAGAAGAACGAAAGTAATGAAATACTTTATCACTACTAATCAGAATAGCTCATAGAACAAAGTCCTGATATGTGAGACCCTTATGAAATTCAAATCGAAATAGAGTATCAAGAACTGATTGATTAATCTAAAAGCAGGAGTATCTCGTTGTGATCAGACACGTTTGATTTCACTTTCAACAACACATTCAGAACTCTTTGAAATAAGTCTAGTCTCACCACAGATCCTCTCTAGATGCCAAACCGCTTTTCGACTAAGACGATGTTCATTTGATGAGTGCTAGTCAGCAACAAAAAAATCTAGCATGGTTTGATTTTTGGGGCCTTCGTTCTCGGGATATCGAAATTTTACTGAGCTTCTCATTCCCTCAAGCGGTTTAACATCTGAAGAAGTTGCCTCGTTAGCTGAAGAGTCTTGTTTTTATCCATGTTAACTAAGTTTCATTGGAGTCCTATATATTTATCACGAAGAAAAAAGTAATATGGCGGCTAACATTGCAACACTAGTACTATGTGTTGACGACTAAAAAGCATACGATATATCTTTGCATTCGTTGGAACTAATTATTTCGTGGTCTAGCAAGCGTTGTGCATATGCTAGCTTGGGAGAGAATAAATAGAAAATATTCTATATTTATGTTGACTTGCTTCAAGTTAATGTTAGCGTCAGTGATGACATATACTGACGCTAAACGAAAATTAAGATGGCCCTTCTAGTCTAACTGTCTTAGCACAACTATCCGGATAGCAGAAGGTGTGGGTTCGAGTTCCAGAAAGGTCATCTTTTTCTTCGTTCTGTCACATAACATCAGTGACACTGTTTGTCCTTTCGTTCTATACATATAAGAGCTAATAAATGGTGAAGAAGTTGGGCATTTATAAATTTTGGTCTGTATATACATATATAAATACATATATATACATAATATATGGCAAAAAAGTTTACGTCATTTTTTCTATCAATGTATTTTTGCAACTGTTTGAGCGAATTCAATCAATAAAAAGTAATATTAAAGAGCACTTAAAAGTGCACTTATGGTGTAAAAATAACGGTTCTAACTTAAGAAGTAAGTGAGTAACGATAAAAAATGTTTGTTATGTGTTTTTGGATCTCAGAAAACAATTCCATAATGTAAATAATCAGAATANCAATTGAAATTAGATATGAAACGTAAATCTGACCAATCATCAAGATCATCAATGAGTATAAGAACAAATAACAAGAACATATTAAATGAACACTGGTAGAAAAGCAATATAGAGTACGACTTCAATTGTTCAATGGTTTGCACTTATTTCTAATTAATTTACACAGTTTTGCTAGATTTTCCTCTATGAACAACCTTAGAAGGTGTTCAAAAGGTAACAATAAAAAGCATTTTCCTTTTTTCCAGCATCATGAGTAATTCCCGTGTAAAACTGTGAACAAGCATAAGGGATCTAATAAATTGTGCTGTTTTCGAAAATAGACAATAAGGGCTATTCAACCACATAAAAACTTAAAATTACGTTCTTGACACAAAAATGACGACTTCTGATAGGCTGCTTTAACCAGACCAGAAAAATGAGATATTGACACCAGTATTATTGAATCACAAGAACAAAATATTATTTAGAAAATTACTCGTAAATAAGATATTAATCAAAAACAATTGAAATTAGATATGAAACGTAAATCTGACCAATCATCAAGATCATCAATGAGTATAAGAACAAATAACAAGAACATATTAAATGAAGAAACAGCTACATATACAACATTAGTTCAAAGAGAATATGATTCTACAGTCGATAGCAATAAAGATCCTCATGTAGTAAGTGTCATGCAATAAAAATTAGTGTTTATTTTGCAATTGACTTCTTCGTCGTCCTTATAGAGTGTTTTGTAAGTTCTGAATCTCGACGAGAATTAATTTATTTACAGAAAAGAAATAATCTCTAACTTTATACATGCATATGAGATTTGAATATTCGTGTTAACATTTCTAAAGGCATAATAACGAATGAAATTCCCTTCTGTAAGAATAGTAATACAAAATATATGAATAAAATGTTCAGTTTATTAAAAATTGATCAGCGAGATTTTTTTTTATAGAAAGTGTTGAGATAATTTGAAAAAAAAAGTATAGTATGAAGAAATAAGTAGTCCTTGTGAGCGTTTATTTAAGACTTATCATGAGCAACTGATCAGTCTGACTTCATCCTGAACAAACATCTACAAACGAACTGAAGTATATGGACATCACGAGAATAATGAAAAACAGAATACAGTGCAAAGTGAAAAGTTTTCATTTTGGAATGCTCATATGTTTTATCCTTTTTTAAAGTGCTTATTTTGTATGTAATAGTTTGACTTAGCATTTAAGGTGTGGTTGAGGAATAAATGCCTGTCGAAACTACTTATATATGGGAAACACTGAAGGAAAGAACTTCGACGAACACAATTTTCAAGTTTCGTACATTTAAAAAGTACATTGAACGTAGAACAGTCATCCTACGATGATCGTAGGAAAATGATTGGTAAAATTTCTTAAAGAGTTATTGAAAAAAATTATAACTCTTCGATAGCAAGTATATGATAGTTAATTGGAATTTTTCGTGAAAACAACTTATTATTTGAATCAGTCAAATACACTGTTTTTCTTTTTCTAAATAAAAGAAATCTTCTGAGTAGATTTATAAAAGCTGAATATTTCATTCTTCTATTTGTATTTCTATTCTTACAAAGGAAGATGTCGTTCGATATTAAGTTATTGTAAATGTTGTTAACATGGGTACTAAGATCCCTTATATATTTATACAGTTAGAGATCATTGCCTGTTTGCACATAAATTAATTTTGGTCGAGGTTCAGAACTCATGAAACATCCGATATAGCATAGACATGTTTGATGATGGTCTTACTTATTCGTCTGTTCATTTAAATACAGCATTCATTTTTCTGAAATCAAAGCTCATTGATTTTCTATTCAATAGCTATAATATCTTCGCATTATTTCGATACATTACATTGAATCGACAGAGATTTTTAAAAAAACACCACAAAGCTTTTTTCTTCGTTTTCAACCAAGCTCGATCAAATGACGTTTCTTTATACTAATACTTATTGCTCATCTTTCTCACGTTCTGTTGATTGGCAATAACAAGCAGGCAACATATTTATTTTGCAGATGAGCTAAAAAGAAAGCAAAAAGTCCCAAACATAAAAAAGCAACGCAGTTGAACAAAAAACACAATTGAAATACTTGTACAATATCGCTCCAAAAAACCGCATAAGTGCTGGTGAAGATAAACTACAAATAGCCAAGAGAACGCACACTCACATCCACCCAAAATTGTATTTGTTTTCATTATAACGGTGGCGCAAGATTTTATGCTGCTTAATCACCTATTTCACCGTCCTCAACGAGGCTCTATGTGATTAGTGTCTATTTTAAAAGCGAAGTGAATCACCAATAAAGGAGCTGGAAATATTACCTAGCTTCTTTCCAGAGCTTTGGCTAGATGTTGTGCTCCTCGATCATCAATTTTATTGTGCCTGAAACTCAACATGGTTAGCATCTGCTTTTAATAGACAGTGAATGACAGTTAGCGAAAATAGAGATATTGCTTGGTTCAGTTGAAGAGCTTTGGCAAAACACCGTGCTCCTTCAACGCCAATTCGATTGACATTAAGATCCAGTGTGGTTAGTGTCTATTTAAAAGAAGCAAGGAACGATAGATAAAAAACATGAAATATTACTTGATTTTGTTCAAGAGCTTTGGCAAGATGTTGTGCTACTTCATCACCAATTTCACTGTTACTGAGTTTCAGAATCGTTAGTGTCTATGCGTGGCAATAAAGAAGCTGAAACGATACAAAAATTCGAGACGGAAGGTGGTTATTGAATGTATAATAGATAGTTGTTGTCTGAATTGGAAAATCTTCAATTTTTTTTCATCAATATTTGCATTTTTTTTTAGAACAGAAGCACTTGAAAATGTTAGAACGTATATACGATAGTGAACAAATTCTTTCAGTTGTTGTCATCTGAAAGACTGATACTCGTAGTCGTGATAGTTGGATTATTACTAGTGATGTATTGTAATTAACTTCAATTATTGTCAGTAGTAAATCACAATTGTTGACTGAAACTTTAAGTGGAAGTTCTCTTAAACAAATCGTCTAATTTATTTGGCTCGATCGAGTAATGGATGGTTTATGAAGAAAAATACTATGGTGATACAGTAGTATAGATTGATATCTCAGATAAATAAGTCATATGTTCAAGATGATGAAAGTCAT